GCAATTGTTCAACATGCCAAGAATGGGAAACCTGCTCTTGTATTTGTACCAACAAGGAAACATGTCCGACTTACGGCTGTGGATCTGATTACATATTCAGGTGCAGACAGTGGAGAGAAGCCATTTTTACTGCGGTCACCAGAGGAGCTTGAGCCTTTTCTTGACAAGATTAGTGATGAAATGTTAAAAGTTACTTTACGTGAAGGAGTGGGATACTTGCATGAGGGCTTGAACAGTCTTGATCATGACATAGTGACACAGCTATTTGAAGCTGGCTGGATTCAAGTCTGTGTTTTGAGCAGTTCCATGTGTTGGGGAGTGACATTGTCAGCTCATTTGGTAGTTGTTATGGGCACACAATACTATGATGGGCGGGAGAATGCACAGACAGATTACCCTGTTACTGATCTTCTGCAGATGATGGGTCATGCCAGCCGTCCTTTGGTAGATAATTCTGGAAAATGTGTCATCTTGTGCCATGCTCCTCGTAAGGAGTACTACAAGAAGTTTTTGTATGAAGCATTTCCAGTTGAAAGCCATCTTCATCACTTCTTACACGATAACTTGAATGCTGAAATTGTTGCTGGAATCATTGAGAACAAGCAAGATGCTGTAGATTATCTTACATGGACATTTATGTACAGGCGGCTCACACAGAATCCCAACTATTACAATTTACAAGGCGTTAGTCACAGGCATCTTTCTGATCACCTCTCTGAGATGGTGGAAAATACATTGAGCGATTTAGAAGCGAGCAAGTGTATTGCTATTGAGGATGATATGGACCTTTCTCCCCTTAATCTTGGAATGATAGCATCATATTATTACATCAGTTACACAACAATTGAACGGTTTTCATCATCTTTGACATCAAAAGCAAAAATGAAGGGTCTTTTGGAGGTTCTGTCTTCAGCTTCAGAGTATGCTCAGCTTCCAATACGACCTGGAGAGGAAGAGGTCGTTCGGAAGTTAATTAATCACCAGAGGTTTTCCTTTGAAAATCCCAAAGTTACGGATCCACACGTTAAGGCTAATGCTTTGCTTCAGGCCCATTTCTCTAGGCAATATGTAGGTGGGAACCTTGCATTGGACCAGAAAGAGGTGCTTCTTTCTGCGAGTAGACTCCTTCAGGCGATGGTAGATGTAATATCAAGCAATGGTTGGCTTAGCCTGGCTCTTCTTGCTATGGAAGTTAGTCAAATGGTGACACAGGGAATGTGGGAACGGGACTCCATGCTACTGCAGCTTCCTCATTTCACAAAGGATTTGGCTAAGAAATGCCTGGAGAACCCAGGGAAGAGTATAGAAACTGTTTTTGATTTATTAGAGATGGAGGATGATGAGAGGCGTGAATTGTTGGGCATGTCAGATTCACAGTTGTTGGACATTGCTCGATTTTGCAATCGGTTCCCTAATATTGATTTGTCGTATGAGGTTCTGGACAATGACAGTGTGCGGGCTGGGGAGGATATCACTGTACTAGTCACTCTTGAGCGGGATCTTGAGGGTAAGACAGAGGTAGGACCTGTTGATGCTCCCAGGTATCCAAAAGCCAAGGAGGAAGGATGGTGGCTTGTTGTTGGTGATACCAAAACCAATCTGTTGCTCGCCATTAAACGGGTCTCCCTGCAACGGAAGCTAAAAGCCAAACTGGAGTTTGCTGCTCCTGCTGATGCTGGAAGGAAATCCTATGCACTTTATTTCATGTGTGATTCATACTTGGGTTGTGATCAGGAGTATGGTTTCACTGTTGATGTTAAGGAAGCAGATGGTGGTGATGAAGACAGTGGCAGAGAATGAAAAGGTAGCTTTCTGGTCTCCTCAAGCATATTTAAGTTGCTTGGCAAATCTAATGTGGACATTAATCAGCTTATTTTATTTTAATGTACGTGGCAGCTATATCTAACTAATTTTAGGAGTTAGGGCTACGGGGAGGATGTAATAAAATGTTTAGTTAGTTTTGTTCTGTTTGATTGTGTTCGATGTCATCCATGGTTATTTGAATCAATTTCTGGTGGTAGCTGTAATGTAGCGTGTTACATTAGAAATCATAAGATATTCTAAATTTCTAATGCAGCATCCCTTCTTACAACAGCATTGTTAATAGACTGAACTTCTGTTTCTACATCTTGATTTCACAATTAAACTGTATCTCACACATGACATAGCCACAGAAAGGTGAAAGGATTCATTGTAGTTTTGTGTAGCACCAACATCCTTTGGTCTACCCTTCAATTCAGTGCATTAGGAGATAAACCAAATATCCATCGGCTTTAGAGTTTAGACAACTTCCTTTGACATCTAACATGCTGCCTTTCTTTACACACACTGCCAATAGTATCTCTCTTACATCCATGATAATTACTCAAATGTTTGTTGAATTCCATAAACCTTCTAGGAAGTTGGGCATATTGGCAATCACAATTAGCCTATATTATTGAAACTAAATAGAATATTATCTGGCTCTTGGGGAGGGGATTCTCTAGATTTTCCTTGCGTGTTCTTTTCTTTAATCATCACTCTGCATGGCAATCCAAGGAAAGTAGCATTGCCATCCCTCCTTTCAAAAGTGTGATTTTTTTTATACTTGACTCTCTTAATGCCTATTATTGGGCACACTACCATGTGCTTGCTGGTTTTGAACTTGATGAAATTTGTATCCTTTGCAGTTTTGTGAAGCTGCAAATGGGAAATAACAATACTTCGCTGTAGAGTATTCCGTCTTATTCTGGTATACACTACACTTCATTCGTCTGTATAATTTACTTGTTGAGTGGTAATTACATGCTTACAATTTTTCACTGGCAGGCAAGAGAGGTAATTGCAGCAGTAGGAAGTAGTAACGTAGCATTAGGAAGTACACACTAGGTTGCTCGTTGAAACACTGTAGCTGACGAGGCACTAATTGCGGCGTTAGGACGTGGAAGTGAAGGGGATGGGTTGCGCATTGAGACGCTGGAGCATTTTTTCTTTTGCTCTGTGATCAACAGTCACACCGAAAGACGAATTCCCTTAGGGTCCACTTTGGCCCCATCCTGCGGATGCTGGATCTCTAATTATATCTTAATCCAAGTTTTTAAGGCAGCTTGTATAGATGTTTATATTGCTGTTTGGTAATCCTAGTAAATTATTCCCTGTGCCATCTGAATTTTTATTTGGTAACTCGAGAGTTGTCATCAGTTGCTATTGTTCGATAACTGTTTGATTTGTGCTCAATAACTATCTGTATAAACTTTAGTGAAACATCATTCATACCAGCACTTATTGAGGATGAGCTTTTGGATCTTCATCTTAAGAGCAAGATTAATTTTCAAGCATAGAAAAATTTGGTTCTTTTAGCAAATTGCATGTAGTGTCAGTATTGAAACGACACCTTAAAGTTAACCATACAATCAACTATTTTTTCAAGTTCTTGAAGATTAGCTGGTTTGATTATTGACGAAAAGGATTTAGCGAATGCTGCTTAGGAAAAGTTTCTCTCAAAATATATGAATGATATTAGTTGAAATGGGTTTTTGAAAATTGTAATAATTTCTAGAACCAAGAGAGGTTTTAAGTAAGACGTTTTCACTTTCATTCTTATTCATGCATTTGATTTTAGCAACGAAGTTGCTTCATTTAATAAATACAGTTATGATTGGGTATGTTAGAAGGTCAATTCAATACCATGTTTTGATCTTGTTAGGGATGTTTTTCAAAGTGTTCGTTGGCTTCACTACAAAATTTAAGAGAGGATGTTAACGGTTATCTTAAATTGAAAGTAAAAATTCTTGTTTGAAAAGGAATATTTTTGTTATATTTAAATCAATGGTTTTAGGACATTTCTTAGCAAGATTTAGTTTAAAAAACATTTTTAATATTTTTAAGGTGTCTCCATAGTACTCTTAATCACTGTAGTTTATCTTGCAACAATTTTTGACATACATAATATCTGACGAATTTGAATTTTCTTCCATGTCAATAAGCATCTTGAAAGGGTAGAAAGCCAATGAACAGTACGACCTTCTATGGCTTCAAATTCAAAGACATTATTAAGTCTTCAAGCGAAACAAAAATTTAAAAAGCACTATAAAATCAACTTTTTGTGTTTTTATAAATGAACATTCGAAGAAAATCAAATAGCAGTGTTTCAGAACCATTTTACAAGAATGAAATGATTTGAATAATAATTTGGTATTTTAAAGTTTGTAAACTTACGAAATGCATAAGAAATAAGAACTTATGGATGTCTCACTTGTGGAGTAAAGCAAACGACTGTAAGGGACGTTCTTATTGGACAATCAATCAATCCTTTGCATTCCCAAACATTGTATGCCATGCACTGTGCTTGCGGGTAATTAGGCTTAAAGAAGGAAGGTTAAGTTTTATTTAAATTTTTTTAATAGAAAAAAGTTCAAATCCTTATTAATGCAAATTAATAAAGAAATGCACCCACAAAAATTAGTGAGTGAAATGTCTTTGAGACGTGAATTGTGCCTATAGAACAATACACACCCTCAAAATAAATGCACCCACAGAAAATTAAAGAAAACTCACATACCATTACTTGTTTTCCATAACATAGTGGGGAAAATAAAAACTTAACCCATGTTAGAATCGATATTATTCTTTAAATTGCATAACCGTATTATTCTTTTAATAAAAACAAAACAAGTAATACAGCTCATTAACAAAAATATAACATGTGTAATAACTATAACACGTTAGAAAATAACACAAAATTGTCTATAAAATAGCACAATATTTTGTAAAATATTTTGCCAAGCCAAGTAACTGCATAGTTAGAACTATAAGGAGTCAACATTTTCAAACCATTCTATTAATGATCAATCAGTACACTATGCTTTACATTCTTGCTGCATATTTTTTTTTTACCATTCACCATGGCAATTAGTGTTATCCTCCCACGGTCACACCCCACAAGTGCTTGGGAGAAAGAGACCACTCATACAAGCTAGGTTTGCATGGCATTAACATATTGAGAAACAAATTGGAGACGCTGATGAAGATGCATGATTATACCAACAAAAACATTTTGCAAATCCACACATTTATAGAACTGAAGGAAAATATCCACAAAGTACTTGATGAATAGTTCTTCAGTTTTAGATAGTTACAAGGACTAGGTTATAACTGAAATATCAATTTGCAAAGTTTATTGTACCAAAGCACTTGTGTTGTAGACAAGAAGTGCACCACCAGCCAGAAGACCAAGTAGAGTTACAGCCCAGATAGCCAAGCCAGTGGTACCTACATATATATAAAAAGAATATTATTTTACATTTAATTTTGATCACGTAAAATATTTTTATAATAAAATCCAATTATTCAGAATCACAACACCTTAGAAAAATTGACTATGATAAACTACTCAGTTAACAATGTTGAAATGTAAATGAATAGGGGAAAAACTTCTTTGAGCACAAGGATTCTCCAAAATGAACAGCTAAGGAGTTGTTTAGAAAATCTTTTTTTTTTTTAATTATAAAATTATTATCTTATTTCGTTTTTTTTAAACATTTATATAAGAAACACTATAAATTACTTTTCTTTACTTTTGTTGTTTTCTCTACAAATCTTTAAAAATAAATAACTTAATACAAATAAAGTGACAATTTTGTATATATATATATATATATATATATATATATATATATATATATATATTTTAAAACCAAATAGTCTCTAGAAGTATAATCCACTCTTAATTTAACCTAAACTCTATATATCATTTCATTAATTTAGTTTTTAAAACCAAATAATTTAGGGATACATATATCATTTCTTATTCAGTTAATTCATTTTACTTTAAAGGAGTATATTCCAATTAATAAAAAGTGAAAACAATTTTCTATTCTCTTATGCTAATTTTTTCTTGAATGTTAAATTGAAGGTTACCCAAAAAATGAAAAGTTTCTTACCGCCAGTGTAGACATCACCGGTTGGAGACCAGTCCTTGGTGTCGTAGATAGGACTGCATAATGCAATTTGAATAAGCAGGTTAATTTATATACAATTGCATAAAAAAATATTTGATAAGTGAATATCAATATCCAAAACTTGAAATTGCAAGAACTTGATTGCTTATGAGTAAATCATTAATAATATTTACCTAACTTCTTTCAGTGCATAATATTCAAACTGAATTTAGATTGGATGGGATATCCATTTATTCCCAAGTGAATTAAACCAAGATCAGATGCCTGATGGGTGAGGGTGATAGCATAATATATAATTTCACTATTAATTAATATAAGAAAGATAAATAATAATTAAAAATAAAGCATTCATTAAAAAAAGTAAAATATTTATTCAAACAATATAAATCTTATTACCTGTATCCATCGACATTGGCCCCATATTTGTCCACAAACTGGTAAACACCCTTTCCCTGAATCGAAGTTTGAAAGTTAGGACGTGTGGCTAATAATCTATATATGGTAATGCTTCACATGAACCAACAATTCTAAAAGCTTAAGTTACATGTCCCTTCAACATTTTATTAGGAAAATGAAAACTGTAAAGGTTGTAAAATAGTCATAGAGACTCTAATATCATGTTATAAACCAATAATCTCAAAACCTTAATTATGTGAGAATGGTTTTCTATATTACTTCTTTCATAATAAGAAATACCCAGATTCAATTAATTAATTATAAACATGATACATAATTTAAATTAATATTTTATTTTCCTTTTATATAATTCATCACTTAAAAATAAGTGTAATCAATAGAAACAAAAACTAAAAAAACCTATCTGTCTACAGCATATTGTTAACTGTAGTAAAATTTAATGCAAGATAGCTAAACACAATCATAAACCTTTCCTTTCCTGCCAGATGCATCAAGTCCATCTCTCAAGTTCATGCCACCATTAATTCCTGCAATCATTCACACAAAAGACAACAAAATAAATTAGTGTAAGAGAGTAGTGCATGCATATACATGCATAATTTGGACATTCCACAAAAAGTGAATAGTTGCTAACCATAAGGCGTATCAGTCTTGATCTTCTTGCCACCACTAGCAACAACTCTGAAGGCTGAAGGGTTCCTTGCGAGGGAGGGAATTCCTCTCACTGAAGACTTCTCAACAGTGAAAGGTGCTGGTTTGAGGCTCAAAGAAGCCATAACTGAAGATGCCATGAAACTTGATGTAGTTGCTATTCCTCCTTGTGCTTCTACTAGTGCAGTGTGCTATGTGCAACAAAACTAGTTCCTTCGATGATAATAATGATAATTGTGGTCATGGATTTGTGATTGGTTTGGTGACACGTGGCATGCCATTTGTGGTGAGTGCAGGATATGATAATGTAAACATTATCTGAATGAGATCAATTTTTCACCTGTTGTTTCTGAACATGAATTTGCAAACAAAATCTTCAAATCCATCTTGATGAAAGAAACTTGGATATTCTTTCCATCTTTTGAAGCTATTAAAAATTCAAAAATATTCACACAGAAAATAATATATGTAAATGTTGTTAATTGCATATCATAAATGGAATTTAGCTTTCATAAAATGAAAAAAAAAATGCACAAAGTAAAAAAAGAAAAACAAAAAAAAAGTCTAATTTATCTTTAACTTGACTTAATATTTTATAAACTTAACTCATCTTTAAATTAAGGATGCCTTGCTTTCTCAATTTTAAAAAGTCAATTCTGGACGAATGACTCACGTACTCACATAAAATCGAGTTTTTGATAATGGAAAAAAAGAGAGATAATAAAATATATAAAACAGAAACTATGATAATTATTTTTTTAATCATACATACATTATACACACACACACACACACACATATATATATATATATATATATATATATTCTAGACGTTACCCATAAACATGTCCATGAACAAAACAACAATCAACAAGAGTTTGAGAAATTCGAATTTAGAAAACACACAAAAAGAGGAATTATTTTTTTACTGGTGAGTAAAATAAAGGAATCTTTTACAACAGAGACGTGTTTAAGTTTGAAGCCATCACTACACATTACATTACATAATTGCAGATAAAAAAGAGAGTGGGACCAAAGAAATGCTATTTTATCATAGGAAAAATGAATATTTTTCTTATTACATTATAAGATTATAATAATTAACCACAAAAAATGCTTATTCACTACTGAAAAATAGATATGATATTTCTAAACTGAAAACCATTTTTCTGCGCGAAATACTTACCAGTAACTTCATGAGTTCATCATTTTCTCATTCAAAACGCCATAATTTTTATAGTGTAGAACATTTTTAACGTTTTTGTTACTTAAAAAATAGACACAAATAAAGTGTATTATGTTACTTCATTCTACTTTACTCTCTGAAAATATTTAAAATCCATCAAGACTGTTTTGATCTAAAAGCTTTTTCTGAACGTAGAATAGTAAAAACTAAACATGCATAAATGTATTGTTTTATAGCACATGCTCCTTTTCTTTAGCACAAAAAATAAATTGTTTTTGTATATATTTTTGTTTAAACTACATTTAACTTTTATGGAAGACAATCTTGTTCAACTTGGATGAGATTTTTATAGGTAGCAATCATTGATTATTATTATTTATTATAGAAACTCAATTATTTTTTAAATCAATAACCAATCGTTAATTATCATTATGAAAATTTTAGTGGACCTTTTAACATCTCAACGTTACTTTTCTTGCGAATTGGCAATTAATCACTTCCTTATTTCCATTTTTGGGTTCCCTTCCCAACCTTTAATAAAAAGTGACACATTAAAAAAGTTAACAAGAGAAAATATTTATTGTTAATCATGTGTCACTTTATAATTAGAGGACAAGAAACTAGACCGAACTATGTATATAACTCAGTATAGGAAAAGGAATATATATATATATATTCATGATTTTTTTTAAAGATATTGTAATACAAAAACGTGTAGATGTTTAGAAATTGATGAGTTTATAACACAAAAGTTTCCTCCTAATAGCATTTTTTTTTTCTAATATTTTGGCTTTACGTGTTCAGTAATGTGTGCAAAACGTGTAGATGTTTAGAAATTGATGAGTTTATAACACATAAAAGTTTCCTCCTAATAGCATTTTTTTTTTCCTAATATTTTGGCTTTACGTGTTCAGTAATGTGTGCAAAAGCCAGTTTAGTAACCAGAAAGTATTTACTTCCAGGATCCACCAGTTTATAGATGATTAACATGACTTTTGAGTGAAATGAAAAGCCTTAACATCTCAGGCATATAATGTATTCAATTGCATAAATTGCTATTTTATCAGCAGCTCAAAAGTTCCATACGGGGGGAAAATATGCAGCTTTTAGAAATAATCAAATGCAATGGTGCCAAAGAAATTACATGCATACATATACGTATAAACACACTTTAACCATTGGATTTTGGATGCTGATATTTTGAGAATGAAAGCACACTACCACAGTTAATGGTAGATTTGGCTATCATCTTGTGTACTTAAAACGTGTTTACCTTATTATCTACTTTGTAACACAGCAATGTCTTAAAGAAGTTTAGATCATGAGTTTCCCAGGAAAAGAAAAACACAAATAAAGAAACTATCTTTATGCCAAAGTTTGGTCAAGTACAAATAATAATGCCCAAGGGTCCAACTATAAAGAGCTGAGACTTTCTTTAAGCCTTAATGCTGCTGCCAAGCCACTGTCTATGGCACCTTCAACATTGGGACTAACACAGAAGTCTCCACAGATGGCTACTCTCTTGTTTCTGTCCCAAAGACATTTGTTTTCTTGGGCAATACTAGCAGCTGGAAATGCACTGCCCCTACAGAAAAATCAATGATACAAAAATCTTGCCTATCATAAACCTAGAATGGAAATGCAGTTTCAAATGTTGAAGTGGATAAAGAAAAGTTAAACATCGTAGATAGACAACAAAGTAAAATGAACTGATTATTTGAATAGTGATCCATCAGTGCACAAGCCAGATGCATTTTTGGAAAAAATTTATTCACCATATATTGTTAATGACAAGTTAGCATTCATCCAATAACTTGGCAGTACTTATTTCACATTTTTCTTAAACATGTAATGATTGAACTGATTTCAAAAGAAAATAAACATCTCACTTCTCATGCACAAATATAACATTAAATACATGCAAGGATATTCCAAAAATTAGAACTTTGTAATGAGAAAAAGGTCTTCTATGACTGGGTTTATATAATAATCAGCCAGGAGTAAAAGCAACTGAGTATCTAAAATGTGAAAATATTATCGGAGAATAAGCACAGATGAATCACTATCCTCTATTCAGAGTAATGCAACTTGAATATATGGTAATGCTCTATTCTAGAACACTAGATAGTTCTTTGAATGCATGAAAACCTAAGTGTAATGCCAGATATATTATTATGCCCATGACATGAGAACTAATGGTAAACTCAGAGCTCCTATATACATTAATTCTTAGTTACTTACCATCTATGTGCTTTTTTAAAAAATGGTTGAGATATGTTAAGCCCTGTGCCTTGAAATTCTTGGAAAAGCTGTTCAGCCACTTTATTCAGTGTACTGTCTGAGGGCTTCTTGAGTCCAGTTTGAGCAATTATATCCTCTGCATATTCTGCTGTAGAATGGAGAATCCATCTTTCACTGTAGAGGTTACACCCTGTTAGCAAAGGAAACTGAACTTGCAGTAGAGTTGTCCCAGTAAATAAACATTTAATACCTTGCAGTAGAATGGCTTGGCTTGCTGCTATCACAATAAGCCCAGCTTAAAACTTTAGAATTTTCAAAAGAAAAGGCCTTCACTGGAATCTGAATCATAAGTTGAGTTTGGTAGATTAAGATCCTCAATTATATCACAGAAAATGGTACTGAGTGGAAGATTAAAACACTCAGCACAGCCTTAATTCAACTATATCTCAAGTTTTTTCCATGGTCATCAGTGAAATTGTTGGTTACAGAAATTGAGACATTAACTTTGCTAACCTCATTTTTAAGTTGTTTTATACAGTAGATATTAAGCTAAATAACAAGAAGCTACACATAGGAAAGGAAATCAAGAATCATCTTGCCAAAACCAAGCATGAGAAATAAAATGGATCCAAATTCAAATGAGAACTTGTAGAACTTAATGACTGCTTAGGAGTTGTGTAGCTATATCATACTTTTGATAGAGGCTCTGCAAATGCCAGCATTACAACAAAACATGGCTTAACAGGAAGATTGTGCAACTTTTCTGATATCTCCGGCACAAATTTTATATCTGCATCTCGCATATGAGAGAAACAGTCAAAATATATTCCATACTTTCCAGATCAACTAGTTCAAATTCAAGTTGAATCTATCAGTTAGATTATTTGTTGATTATGCAAATTTAACTTTTATTAAATCAAAAAACTCCATCTTACATACCGGTTTAAGTAAAGGAATGTTTTGCTGATCAATTGTACAAGAAACATATTATACTTATTGCAATCTGGCAAGAAATTGTCATCCCTCTCAACTCTCTAGATTATTGTAAAAATGAAAAAGTGAAGGAAATACTTTCCAATTGCATTTGTATCCCATGCTCTCTAGCATAGCATTAAAAAATTTATCATCAAACATTATACAGCAACAACAACCAAACCTTATCTGATTATCTCACTAGGTGTGGTCGGCTACTTCATCAAACATGATAGGCACCCAAAAAGTGTATCCTGATAGCACTAGTTGATTATTTGAACAAAGGAAAACAACAACTGTCAATTTGTGCCTCCTATAATCTATACAATCAATGCATGAAAAATGTAACCCAGTGCTACCAGTGATATCCAGAAAAACACAGAAGGATAAACTTCCAACATATATTTTTGTATGTAGGTCTCTTAAATCAGACACAAAGTAATGCTAAATTTCTCATGACTGTAACTAATATCTCTCGAGTGCCCTCAACCTCAAGCCTGCACATAGAAGAGCCTGTTTCACAAGGCATCTCACCAAAGAAAAAAGGAAGCCAGAACTAAACCATGGAATTGGGTAAAATATGTCAAAAAGATACAGCAAGAGGTCCAATGAAGGTTGATGCTATAGAAGTTACGAAGTCATGATTCATCAAAGTCCCATTTAGGCTTCACTTGTATCCTATTCATAGCAAAAATATTTATGGTCGACAATACCCTTTAAAATAAATTAACCAATAACTCAAGGAAAAAGAAGCAGAAAAAGGCTATTCAACCCAAAGAGGAATATAGCATGTAACATGTTCATTGGCATGGCACTTGACCGATACCAGCTAATCTTCTCCAATCACTTTTACTCTTTTGCCATGTCCTTCAGTAAATGGTTTAATAGCAAATATAAGCTAGATGGTTCTCTATATAGCTGGCTTTCTAACAGAAAGACCTATTAACACATTGTCTCCTCAAAAGATAAAATGAATAAAGGATCACATGGAAAATAAAAAGAGAGCTAAGCAAAGAAAGCCATCATCATATTCATACCAAGTGGTGGCAACCGTCCTGTCACTTCTGCAACCCTGGGAGAAACTATATTCTTGTCTGATGCAACAAGCCCCTTAAATTGACCAAGATTTTGCCCATCCACCCCTATCAATGACCACAGTTTCTCATCATCCAACCATTCAATTTTTCCAATACTTGCACCGAACTTGCTTTCCACACCTAACAATGAGAATATAATTAATAAGCTTTCTAGTGGCTTCACAGTCAACTCTGAACAACAATACTGAATAATAATAAAGAATTAAGTAGATACCACTCTCATTGCATAATGCTTTGCATATAGAATTCATGCCTGGAACACCCACATATCTCTTGCTTAAACTTTCCTAATAAATATTACAGTCAGAGAAACAATTATTCTTATGTGATCTCAGATACACAAGGTTGTGTTACAAGTCATGCTTCTACATAATTTGAATAGTACATAACTAATGTTGAAAACGGCAGTAAAATATGACGTGTTTCCCAGAAAATATATGTTTTTCTAATATCTAAGGTGCTGCTAAACAAATATATTTTCACAAATCTGCTATTCATGTTCTCAGGGACCAAGATTTTATTTGCCATAAGCACATGAAACACAGTTTTGTATGTGCTTACTAAATACAATTTTCTTTATAAAATAAATTAGTGAACTGAAAACTGTGTACGGTGTACATATAATGCATCTGTTTTAAGTATACCACACATGCTAGCAAAATCAGTTTGGAAATGAGCATTGAAAGCTATTTTCCTATGACAGTCCTGAAAGCCCAACATGGCTACAGATTTAAGAATATGTGTACAATATGCAGACTAATAGGTAATTAATTGGATTGAACTCATGTTAAAAAGATTAAATTGTGTATACAAACGATAAATATACATAAATCTAATCCAGATTAATACATTGAGAAACATGATGGAGAGGCCATCAACACAGGGCAAAACACAGCGCTAACCATAAATATAAATTAGAGAATGAAACACTGCATAACCAATCTACACCATATATACTGCACAAAACAATTTAACATATGAATACTACTTGTCAACCTGTTCTATGTTGTTAAATTTACGGGCATGAAAATCGAACGAGCCAAACTTTTCTTTCCATTCAGCTACAAGACTCCTTGATTCCCACTCTTGAACCAGGTTTAACACTTCAGACTTGCTAACTGAGAAAAATGGAGCACCATGGTCAAAATGCAGCTCCTTCCCATCTTCAGTTTTCTCCCTGGATTCCAGAAATTGAGAAAATTTAGGATCGTCTTTCAAATTAACTCTTAGCCAATGAATGAAATTTAAGTAACATTAGGGATGAAGTAACAATGTTAACTGTGTTATACTTTACATAACTGTCTCTAAATACCAGTGCTAATTCTTTTACTAAACAATCACAATCAGCAAAAGTATATCAAAAAGCATTAACATAATAAAATAAAAAAATCTATAACACATATCAGCTGCTACATGCCACCTAAATCCACATATTCAAACCAAACAAACAAAGCAATCAGAACAGCCCAAATCTTTTTTCCCTCAAAAAAGAAAATCAAACAGGTACTAGAAAATTATGCAAGTTGTACAATATAAAAATTCTCCCTAAATCAATTGATCATCTTAAAAATGCTATTCAAAATGGACGAAACAATAATTCCACATAACCCCATCAAAATAAAAGTTGGGGGGAGTCAAAATAATAATAATAATAATAAATAAATAAAAGAACCTTCTTTGGGACATGCGTCCACCAGGGCCTCTAGCTGACTCAAAGAGAGTGACAGAAATCCCATTTCGTGCAAGAGTTGAAGCACACACTGCTCCTGAAACTGCCACCATATAATTCCATAATTATATAAATTAGATTACTAAAAGCCAAAAAGAAAAAAATAACAAAATAAAATCAGTTGGTGTGTGGTGCAGTGCTTACTTCCACTTCCCAACACAGCAACCTTAAAGGCGGCGCTACTCATGTTTCGTAGCTGTTAATAGATTTTGAAACGTACTATGAAGAGAAAGTGGCATAAGATAATACGAAGTAGTTCGGTTGTAACATTGGTAATAGTCATGGTGGTAGCTTAGACTAGTAAATGCATTTGGGTCATTATCAAAGAATTTTCTTAGCTTCCTAATAAACTATATATTCATATTACCACCATACAATTATTATTGATCGTGTTGGCTAGAATAAGACTCACAAAATTAGATAGTTCATATTCTTTTTTTTCTTACAAAGTTTGATACAAAAGAACAAGGCCCAACCCAAAAAGTACAGGCCTAAACCACAAACAATTTGTGTCCTATGATATTATATTACTAATGAGATATCTTAAGATTTTTATTTCTTTTTTTCTTATTAATTTACCAATGACATTCTTAGGATAAGATTTTTTTAATATTATTTTTCTCTCCTATTTGAAGAGAACAGATTTTTGTTAGCTTTTTTTTTTTTTTTTTTTATCTCTTCTCTCTTTATTGTAATGTAAATAGGATGGAAGTGCTTTCATGTTATCTCTTTCTGAATATTCTTTTAACAATATTTCTATGATGTAACAATTTTGAGATTGAGTTATTTGATAAACTTAGATTTACACTCAACCATTTTTTTATTAGTTTAGACGTAATCGTCACCATCTAAAATCCCTCTTTGACTCTTGAAAATTAAAACAAGAAAACACTATGATTGGTCGCACACGCAGGTGGATGTTTGAACGTACATTTAGATCTAAAAATTTAATATGAACATGTAACTAATGTTCATACTAATTGTAGAATAAAATTCTGGGTAATCTAGTGTTAGTTCTGGCTGCTCTTCTCTATTTGTTTTATTTTTATACTAATCTAAACTTTCACAATGTTTCTTGCATATCAAATATATATAATTTATGCTGTATAGATTAAATATTATATCACAATTGGAATGCCAAATTGCCTAGAATTATTTTTTATTAAAATTTATTAAAAATTACAAAGATCATTAATTTAAAAATAAGAAAGATTAAGTCACACATGATTTTTAATCAATAGTAAAACGTGTGTTAAAAAGTGTGTTGTTGGTATTATTCTTTTTTTATATTATAACTTGTATGTACCTGGACATTATATATCGTAGAATGAACATGTCTAATCAATAATTAATAAATTATACATGAATGATTTTTATTTAAAATTTATGAAAACTAAAAATTTAGATGATATAATGGTCAAAATTAAAGGTTAGTTAATACTTACTTAACAATTTTAAAAAATTATATGTAGTTATTGAATTTTAATAATTTAAATAAAACATAATAATTTATATTAATTATTTTAAAAATTTTCTATTATTTTAAAAATGTTAAATAAAAGTGTATTTATTATTTTAAAACATAAAGATATGTAATAATTAAGAAACTTATAGGCATAAATGAAAATTTTAGAATTGTTGTATGCTTCATTCTATGGACTATCGTAATCGTTGATTGATGACCATTTTCTATGTTAACAGCTATCATAGAATGTGGAGAACAGTATGAAAATGTCAATGCAACATGTGACAAAGGCAACATGCAATTATAATATTTTGTTTATCTATTTAAGTAATTAATCCACAACGTGCTTTCAGGTTCGTAACTTTGAACCAAGTTTTCGTAAGGACAACAATTTATCAATTTTTTATTTCAAAAAAATTATTAAATTATGAAATTATTCTTATTATTATTATTTTTCTATAGTTGCAAATCATGAAGCATACTTAACATAAATATAACGTTTGTGTATGGTCTCATTGCACATAATTCACATCAAATAAATAAGTCAAATTTAAAAATTAATTAAATTAGACTCATGTCTTACAAATAATTTTGCTGTTTTTTTTTACTTATTTATTGTCAGAGTCAACATGATTAGGAGAAAAACTTAACATTGCATAAACAGATGTTATGAACAGTTTATTTATAAATTTTGCTTTATTAGTAATAATAGTATTAGATAAATGACAAGATGTCAACTATAATAATAGAATAAAGCAAGGTCAACAGAAAAGATAATCTTAAATAAAGTTTGAATAAAATGCAAATTATAACTTTCTGAAAAAACAGCTATCACATAAAATTTCTAATGTCAACAAGGATAATATTTTTTTGGCATAAATGTTTTCAACTCTTGAAAATATGACTTTTGTGAAATTATTAGTATAAAACATGAAATTAGTGTTCTTGGATTCATATAAGAGATAGAATCATCCAACTGAGTAAAATTAAGAAAGTTTGTTAATATATAAAAATTAAATAACTACCCAAAACTTTTAAAATTAACTATCATAAATATTGGCACTGAAATTAAATAATTTAAATACCAGTAAAAATAAAAAAGATAATATTTTTTTAATGATTAAAAATATAATTAAGCCCTTTTAAACTTTGAAAGATATAGGGATAAAAATTAAAAAGATGTAGATATTGATTGTTGATTAAAAAATTAAGTATTAGTCAATGAAATTTGAAAAAAAAAAACTTTTAATTAGAAAGCAAAGTAACTTCAATAATAAAACTTGTGCAATTACTTTTCTCGATTTTGTGAACAAGTAATCATATAAATGCTTGTAAAACGATCAATGCTTATAAAAAAATGTGACCTTATATCTCACCTAAATGGTCAAAGAGATAAGATAATTACATGAATAAAGTTATCCTAATACATTATTCATTGCAAATTTCTCAAACAACAATGAATTTCTTATGGATGTTTTGGCAAAACTAAATAACTAAGAGTGTGCAAATGGTCTCATTGGTGTAACATTCTTGATATTGGTCATGGGAGACCAAATTCACTTGATTTATTAAAATACAATTTTTGTATATGTGTGTTTAAAGGGACAAGAGTAATGTTATAATTTTTAATAAAATTTTATTATTTATTATTTTTTTATTGTGTTTTAAACCATACTTTAAAAATTTTGATTAAAATAATATATTTTAATAATTAAATATTAAAATATTATTATTTTTTAAACATATTAAAAAGAGTAGTTTTTGTCAAATGTTTTATTTTTCTGTGGTTTTTAATCATAAAAAATATTTGTGGTAATTTACACTATTTTCATATAGTCTAAAACTATAAAAAAGAAATTGCAACCTAAAATCGCAATCCGCATATATTTTGCTGCTATTTATTTTCTTGTAGTTCCTTTTAAGCGACTCTAAACTTTCACTACTGTTTCTAAATAAAAATAACCCCAATTTAATAATATGTTTCAAAATAAAATTATTTTAATATATTTTCTAAAAAATTACTTTAATAAATTGACCAAATTGTTGCATGAATTTGGTGTTCAATCAATATATTTTTTTAATTGAGTCACAAAGGTTATTAAGATAATTTTTTTAAAATAAAATATTCATACACATCATTAAAAATCAAATCCTTACTGATATATTTATGAAAATAAATTATTAACTAATTATACAAGACTTTGCTAATATCAAATTAATATATGATTTCATGTAATTGATCACATGGACCTAATATTTGTAAGAGTCAAATTTAAGTACATATCGGATATTATAATACTTGTGCATGGCAAGTGTTTGTGTAAATTAAAAAAAATTACATTTTAACATAAAAATATATATTAAAAAAATAAATTTGAATTTATCATAAATAAAATTTAGTTTAATATGTATATTTTTTATTAAACTTAGAATATATACATATATTAAAATTGTTTATTAAATAAATTTTAAATTATAGTTTTAATATGATCTACATATTTCTTATCATGAAACAAGCGAATATAACCTTCTTTTCAAACAAGCTCCATGGTTTATTTTTGCGATATCTTGAATTTGGCATATGTTGCAGGTTGTTCTTTGATTGAAAAAGTTACTTTGTCTTTTTGTTTTTTAATGAATCAAATGTACTATTTTACCTTTTTTATAACAAAATTTTGAATTAAATAATTTTTAGTCATCATAAAATTATTAAATTTTAATTTTAATAATAATATGATAAAGTTTTTATTAAAGTTTATTTTTATATAAATTGACTTACATAATAAAAATATTTAAATTAACAGTTAAATATATGTATGAATGCATGTATATGTACATATATGCGTGCGTGTATTTATAATTTTAATGCAATATGCAATATAATTAATGGTTATTATGCTTAAATAGATTTAATTTTTAATAATTATAAAGATTAAAGAATAGTTAAAAATGTTTTTTTTAAAATATATTAAAACTTACAAGAATATGAATATATTATTATTATTTTAATAAAAATATTTTCTTGAAATTATTTAATTGAACAATGAGTCCATTATAATATTATTACATTTCTTAGGACATTAATTAAAATTTTAATAATAAGAAGAAGAAAAACAACTTCAATAATGCAAACTTCATACGAGAACATTGTAAAATAATGCCTTATAAAAAGGCTCTTTGATTAAGTTAAAGTACATCAATTCTTATTTTAATTTAATTGATCTATTTTCCATATCATCATAGACTTACTCTTTTACATTTGTCATTACTTAATTTTCTTGATCCTTCTTGCCAAACAATTATCCATAGGCCTTTTATGCGGTAAGAATCTCAGAGGAGATTTCGTATTAAGTTGTTCAAGCCAGAGACAATAAAACATAAGATTCATCAATACAGTGTGCTTTGTAGAACTGACATTTAATTCTATAAAATTAAGCATATTATTAACAGATAAAATGAAAACATATTTAAAAAGTGATAACTTGAAATTTTACTTTGAGAAAGTGTTCCTTTTTTTTTTCCAATGACGTTTTTGCATCTTTTACAAGTAATTTATATTTTTACATGTATAATTTACGAATATAGTCAAACAAGTAGGAAAGTAGGTAGAAGAAAATGATTTTTAATTGTTTGGGTAAATAAAAATTGATAATTCTACTTTCTTAATAAAGTTTTAATGAGATTTCTAATATGGATAATTGTTTTACTAAATTATAAGAGGGGTAAATCTATTGTAAAAAAGGGTTCTTAATCTTAAGGTTAATCTATAACAACAAAATTAATTCTACACTAATATAGACTTGTGTTCAATCATGCACAAATATTATGTAAGTGGCTTAAAGATAGAGAAAATGTATACTCATAATTCAAAAGAAAATGATGAAGGAAAACTGAGATTTCTAGCTTTGCAAGATCATTCCCAGGACACAATCTAGTTCCTGCTCCAAATGGAATAAATTCTCCAGCCTTGCGTATCTCCTGTTAATGATCATCAATTATTTGTCAAAATAAATCATAAAGCTCTTATTAAGTGTAAAACATATAGAGTCATTTATTTGTTCAATTTAAATGTGTCAAAACTAAATCTTTGAAACTTACATTGCATCTATGAGGATTGAACTCCTTTGGATTAGGATATATTTCAAGGTCAAGGCGAACTGACCTAAACCAAACAAGAACTTTCCAACCTTTTGGAATCATGTAACCTGTAGCAATAAATTGTAGTTAGTATTTTAACATCTACTTCATGTCACCTCATGGTATTAAAACTTGTAAATAAATTACTGTACAAGTTCATGATAAAAACATGTACGAGTTATCCTTATAAACAACACCTAACACAAAAAAAAAAAAAAAAAAAAAAAAAACCTTGTTTTCAAAGTATAGTTTGATTTTAGAAAGAATAGAAAAGGGTCATGATTTATTATTCCATTTATGTTTCATGACTACTAATCATGGCCAAAGTGAGAAAAGAAATATATCAAAGCCTATGCACATTATAAGTAGATAAGTTATTTGACATAGACTAACCATTGATATTGACATCAGATTTTGCCTCCGAAAAACCATTAGTGAGAATGTAATCACACGCAATGTTTCATCAATCACCTATTCATTGTAAACAAATCAAAATATATATAATTATAATATCATCAATTATATGTATAATTTGAAAGTAACCTTAAATCAACAATATCCACCTTAGAAAGAAATTCCATCTTTCGAACTTCATCAAGTGACAAACCTTTTTGTGTTGGAGCCCTTTTCCTAACTATTTCCTCTTGTTCGTCCTATTCAAGGAGGTAATTGCAGATAAAATTATAGATTTTGGATGAAAGATAGGACATGAAGACATTATTTAGGCAAAGTAGTAAATGCATATGTTTATGATCATTAGCAATTGCAATATCAGGTGGACTAATGATAATTAAGTAATTTGATAGTTTATACTTTAGCCTTCTTGAAATATTCTGGATGCCTTTGGAGAAAATAGGTTGCTCACATGGTAATATGTCCTGAGGATTCATGACCTGCATTTAAGTACATCAACATGATATCGATGATGTCTTCATCACCCAATTTTCTTCCATTTTCATCTTCAACATCTATCAAAGCATCGATCATATCTTTGGTTCTTTTGTTAAGTAAATTTTCCTTCCTTTCATTTCTTTGGTTATCCACAACAGCTTGAAATACAGCCAACAGATTTTTCCTGGCCTAAAATTAAAAGAGAAAAAAAAAGTAAGATATGACACTTAAAGAAGAAACTTCAAGGTTTTCATAAGCAATAATGTATTATTTATTGTTATGATTTGTGACTCTTAGAGAAAGACTTTTGCTTCATTTGGAGAACATACTCAAGAAGATGAGATTCTTAATGGTATGCTTGAGTATGTTGTTTTAATTACAAAAAAATTAATCATGTAAAAGAATCCATGCAATAAAGCAAAATAAACACAAGCAAACTTCTTACTTTTTGTGTAGTCTTCATATATTTAATGCTTAATGTAAGATGGTGATAAAAAGTTACCTTCAATGCTTTATGGAATGCAAATCCAGGAAGGTTAATTCGCATAGCTCTAACTCCATGATTAAGTGTTGTGTATTCTTTTTCCAAAGCCTCCATAAGAGATTCACTTTCTGCTCCAAGAAAAATATGCATAATGATTTTAAAAGTAAGCTTTCGCATTTGAGTTAAAAATTCAATGTCTCCCATGGTGGTCCATTTCTCCAATGAACTTATCACAATTTCTTCAATATATTTCAAGTAAACAGACAATGCTTCATAGCCATTGATTGAAGAAGATGTTAAGCGTCTAAGGCGTTTGTGTTCTTCATAAGGCATTGAAATAAATGACTTTTCTCCAGTGAGCTCTACTGTGGAAAGAGGCCAGCCAAGAGTGAATTTATCATCATCTGTTAAAACTCTTTTACATGCTTCAGCTGTTGTTACAATGACACTTGGATTTCCAAACATAAGAACCTTGTATATGCCAGTCTTTCCAAATCTGCATTGTTCATTACATTAATACTTTAATGAAATAGTAATTAATTAAACTTAACAAAATATGAATTTAATTTCAAATTATTAGTGTTTAGTTTTTTCCCGTGTTTTAATGGGAATTTAGAGTCCTTTGAATATATTAGAAGACATTTGTACTAAGACTTAAAAATTACCCCAAAAAAATATTGTAAAGCTTTGAAATTATTTCTTAGAAAATAACCACTCCATGAAACCATTATTTATTTCATTTTATCCTATTCGGTGGGCCAACAGCTGACAAATTAATTCTTATAGCTTGATTAGTGTTTGTTTGTATAGTAAGGAAATGAATGTTGGTTGAAAGTAAGAATTTATTATTTCCATTTAACATAGATAAAACAATGCATATTTCAATCACAATTGTGGGATTTGATTTAAAAATCGTGTCATAATTCCTGAATTACAATACAAACAGAGCATAAATAAATAATCCTTTAATACAACCAAAGCTTTTATAAAAATTCTTTGATGATTGTGATATACACTTAAAAAAAAAAGTAAAACTTTATGAATGGACTAAAATATAAAGTCTTTAAGAAAATTATCTAACATCTTAAACAAAACAATTGTTCACTTTTTGTTTGAAGCAAAATTTGATAATTCAAATAAATCACAAAATTAAGGCTCATTTATAACAGAAATGCTAGTAACAAATACTCAAACACATTCTTTTTAATTAATACATTTCTAACTATTGAACAAAATTTATTAAAAACTATAAAAATATAAAAGAGAAATCTTAAATTAAAAATAAGAAAAATTGAATCATACATAACTTTTGTAGTTTTTAATAAATTTTAACCAGTACTTAAAAATGTATTAAAAAAAGTAAGTAAAGTATAAAATCATTTGTAAACTAGCTTGTTGAATACTGGAAAAAGTAAATAGAGGGTAGGGTGGAAATTACCTAGAGACAAAGGAGGCCATGAAAGAATCAGGGTCATTGGTCTTGAAAGCTTTAAGGAAGGACCACATGTTGCCTATTATAGGCCAACCCATATCACCAGGGGGAAGAAAGTATTGCTTCCCACCCAATCTATATTCTTGAGGAAGAATTTTAGGACCAAAAGAGCACCACCAACAAGAAATACACTCATGAAACTCATCTCCATGATCATCACTTCAAGTCACACACACCAAAACTTACCCTCAACTTGTAGAGGTACTTGAGTCTTAGTGTGTATAAATAAGATTGATTTTGCATAAATATTAAATGTTATATTTATTAAATTTAATACAATTCAATCTACTCATTAAATGCAATATTTTGAATGACACAGTACCCAAATAAATATATTTAATATATTAATTAATTTCATGACTTATTATTATTATTATTTTATGTTCCTTTTTAGCAATGAATTTAAGTAATATTTGCTTAATAATTTTTTACATCGTTACTCAATCATAAATTGTTAAGCAAAAGTCAAAACTCTTACTGTATTATATATAATTAATAAATATAACATTTAATTGCATAGTAACATTTAATATATAATTCTTTATTTATATTATTATATATTATTTAATAAATAAAACATTTAATTTATACTAACATTTAATATACAATTCTTTCTTTATTTAATTAATCATGTTATATTTATTAATATAACACTTAATTGTGCAGTAACATTTAATATAACACTAGTTATAATATTGAAAATAAAATACATAAAAATGATAAATTTAAATTTAATAATTGATACGAAAGCAGGTCATTCATAATTTTATCAGAAAGTTAAATATTTTTAGTTGGAATTAATACTTTTAGATTTTTAGTATTTTATATATTATTTTCATACTTATCATTATATACTTTGTTTATTAAAAATACATATTTATTTAATGCCAATTTTTTTATTAAAATTTTACGCACGTTAAAATACTAAGTATTTAATGTTACGTTAATAGAGTGGTGTAATGAATTTTACTTACATTAGAAATTCTCATTCCCACAGATTATACGCCAAAGGTCAAATAGGAATGTTAATTTGGGTTAAGCTGAACGGACCGATTCATACAACCTCCTTTTCACAATGGTGGATTTGGTCAAAATATGTGTCAATAATGAAGTGAAGTTAGTTAACCCATTTTTTAAATTTTTAAATATTAATTTTTATTATCATAACTTATTGTTTAAATATTTTTATTTTTAAACAAAAATAAATAATGATTATTTATTGTTTGTTAACCAACCTGATAGTGTGGATTATTAGGATTGACAAAGAGATTATTATATTAATAAATAATGATTATTTGATACACGTGTAGTTATATGTACTTATAATTTTTTAATATACATTCAATGATATATAATAAATAATAATTTTTTAATATTTTATTATTTATTATTTTTCAATTGTGGGCAATTTGAGTGTGTAGAAATCACAGCCTATAAAAATTATGCGTCATGATTGACACTATTTACACGCAATTGAAAAAAGTAAAATTATACAAAAAGAAATAAAAATAGCCACTTGATAAATGTGAAAAGAGAAAGTAGTTAAAAAAAACAGCCGTACGATAAGAAAGACAAGAGATTAAGAGAAGTAACAGTTGAAGCAACCTTGGTCTTATGTCTGCCAGGGAAAAGCAAAAAGGGAAGATTCAAAGCGAGTACGCGTCGGTTTATGGTTTCATAATCATTTCATTAACCCAACCCCTTCTTCACGCTTTCTCTTCTCCACAATTACACCACTATCTCTAGTTGTTTTTTTCTCCACCTTCTCAGGTTTGTTTCTCTCATGTTACTTTTCTTTTTGTTTTTTGGGTACCCTTTACTCATGGCTTTGTGTTTTGCTTTTATTTCTTCTTTGTACTTTCGAAAGTTGCAATCTTTTTTCTTTTTGGTTTCTGGGGGAGATGGTAGTTCTGATTTTTTTTTTCTTTTGAAAAGTTTCTTTTTTTGGTTGAGCTTTGGTTTCATCTTGCTGTGGCAGTCAGTGGTGAATTAAATTCAGTTTTTGAGCTGTGGAAAGCGGCACAAACTGGATCAATGTGAAGATATTTACATTTGACCTTTAAATGTAGCTTGAGATGCAAAAGCATAACTCTTAAAGGTTAGAGCAAGAGAAGTTGTAGAATCAAGTCAAAAGCATGGTTTTCATTTGAAAATTTAAATTATGCATTGCTAAGTGTTAGGCAACGAATTATATTTGTGAAAATTCTGAGTTAAAGTACATATCATTCACATGGATAAAAGAGTGGAAGGGTGGTACAGGAGTGGAGAAAAGGCCTGATTTGAATTGACAGCTGAGAGAGTGTTTGTGCTTTTGAGTTATGATCAACTCCATCAGTTTGTATTTTATTGTTTGTTTGTTTGTGCCTTATGGTATGGCATTGGGAGAAATTGAATACATTTCTTGCTGGCCCTCCCTCACTTTTTATGGACTTTTCAAAAAGATTTGCCTTCATAGAATTTCTTTTGTCAATCTACAATGCATTGGGTAAATCAGTTGAATTTCATTCTGATAGTGATATTTGATAATTTGAGTCTCAGTAGTTTCATTATGAATCTATGATTAGGCTTCATTTCTTTTGATATACACCTATTTTATGAAAAGAACCTGTTTCAATGTCACTGGAATATTGTGGCAAAACTTGAGCTACGGTATCAGTTATTATTTTTTGCATCCCACATCTGCTATAGAAAACTACGAATGTGGTTTGTAATGATCTTGTAGGGCCTGGGATTTTTGCATTATCTTTTATCCTGTTCAATTATTTGTATGGACTTTCCTCTTTATTATTATTCAAAACTTTGACACTTTTTTATGGTTCAACCAGGTGACCTTGGAAGTGGTTTCATTGGAAGCAATTGTTACCATTGGATATTTGAAGCTATTTGTACGTCATTTAGTCATGCCTTGTTTTCCTTTCTTATTCTGTAAGGTGTCTTCTTCAGCAAAACAAGAACAAGAAACTGATGAAGGTAACTAAACTACATGCCATAACAAATTACTATAGGCTATACCAAGATGGAATTGTGTAGTTTTTTAAATTTGATTAATTTTCTAGGGACATAATTGTATGCTTGAATTGAGATATCTATTCCACCATATATTGATATAAAAAAAATATTTACAATTTTAGATTTTAATTGAATGTACTTTGAATAGATATTTCAGGCATTCATAATGTTAGGCTCTACACCTACAAAGAACTAAGAAATGCCACTGAGGAATTTAGTCCGGCCAATAAAATTGGAGAGGGTGGTTTTGGCTCTGTTTACAAGGTAAACTAGATCACTTTCAAATACTGCATGCATCATCACAGCAATTGGCCTGGTCATTGTCTTTTCCTTTTGCTTATCGATGACATGAAATATTAACTTATTATAGTCGATGATCAGGGACGGCTTAAAAATGGAAAATATGCTGCAATAAAAGTTCTTGCACCTGAATCAAGGCAAGGGGTGAAGGAGTTCTTGACAGAGATTAATGTGATCTCAGAGATAGAGCATGAAAATTTGGTCAAGTTATATGGTTGTTGTGTGGAAAAGAATAACAGAATATTAGTCTACAATTACCTTGAGAATAACAGCCTTGCACAAACTCTTCTAGGTAAATGCATTTCTTTTTTCTGGGGATTGGGTAACTGTCTGCATTTTATCTGTTGATGCTTGGCATGAAACATGGAGAGTAATCTTATCCCTGAGAATCCATTTTCCTGGAATATTGTTGGAGAGAGTCTCTTGCACAAAGCATTCTGGAAAAAGTTGAGAAAAATGACTTACTTCATGGTTTTATTTTTGTCATGTGTTAATAACATACACGCTGGGTAACCAACCCAACAACAAACTCTCGTTAGTTAATTCTAGTTAACGATGTAAGGGGATGAGTTAAAGATTCTTCCAATGTATTTCTGGGTCCAATGGAATTCATAGGTATAAAAAAACAAATGATTTTATATTTTACATCTCTAACACCCCCCTCATGCAAGAGCCCTCAAGGCTTGAAGCATGGATAAAACATAGGCCTACATACCTTGTGTTGAAATTCAACTTTTTATTAGAATAATGGAGATGTCAAGGATTAAATTCTAGACCACCTGGTCATAGAGACTCTAATACGATATCATGAACCAACTATCTCAAAAGCTTAAGTGAAAACACATGAATGGTTTTCATATTACATCTCTTTAATGTTTTTTTAATCTAGTCTTTGACTCTACCAATCTTGCTCTAATTCCTTTTTAATCATTTTTTTTTCTCTTTTTTTATAGGAGGTCACCATAGTAGTCTGTACTTTGATTGGCAAACACGGTGTAGAATATGCATTGGTGTTGCACGTGGGCTTGCCTTCCTTCATGAAGAAGTAAGGCCTCATATTGTTCATAGGGATATAAAAGCAAGCAATATCCTCCTTGACAAAGATCTTACACCCAAGATTTCAGATTTTGGACTTGCAAAGCTTATTCCAGCAAACATGACTCACGTCAGCACACGTGTAGCAGGAACAATGTAAGTATTGTAATTACAATCACTGAGACTTTGTTAAAGAGTTTGGAGGGAAAGGGAAGGAAAGAATTTGAAGGGTAAGGAGAGGAGGGTAAGGGAGGAGGAAAGAGGAAGGAGGGTTAATGAAAAACCCTCTAAATTGGAAGAACTTAAAAATATGTGAGCAGAAGGGTTTTGGAGGGCCTCTCATCTAAAAACTCTCAAACAAGAGTTATAATTAAATAAGCCTTCCTCTTCCCCCCATTTCCCTCAAAAAATTAACTCTCAAATAAAGCCTGAAAAAATTGCAAGATTTTTATTTTGTTTTGTTTTGTTTTGTTTTTCCTCTTGAAACTGCAAAGCTGCCTTTCTGATATCACATTGGTCAGAATTAGATGCTACTTTACTGGAAAATTAGAATACAGTTGAAGATTGATCATATTCTGTATATTTAATTTGTAACAATAATTTTTTATGTCAAATGATTACATTGAAGTTTATATTCATATTTTGTCATAGTATCTTCATCACACCATTTTAGTGGTGACATAAAATTGAGCCAGTGCTGTGCATAAATTTTTTTGATTAAAAACTGCGTTGCACACATAATCTGGCTAGTTCCAAATTCATCTGCTCAAACAAAATCCCTGAGATCATTTTCAGTGCTGCTACACTGTTCATATGTGTTAATGGAAACATCATATGTGGTTTGGGATATTATTATATATTGCTCATTCTCTTTCCCTCCTCACTTGAGAAAGAGGAATGCTTTTCTTTTGCTGTTTACAAATGGATGTAATATTTTTCAATCAATTATTTACATAAAAAAGTGCTAATGCATGGTCTATTTCAGAGGCTATTTGGCACCAGAGTATGCAATAGGGGGGAGGCTGACACGGAAAGCAGACATTTACAGCTTTGGTGTCCTTCTTGTGGAGATAGTCAGTGGAAGATGTAACACGAATTCACGACTACCAATAGAAGAACAATTTATTCTAGAGAGGGTATGGATTTCTCCTATTTCCAATTGTGTTGGCATATCCTTACTAGAATCAATTCTTACAATAAGTTTGTTTATTCAATCGTCATCTATTATAACCAAACCTGAATTCACCATGTTCCTTATTAATTACTTACCTGAATTCCCCAATATTTAAACTTATGTGCTCATATCTATTATAATACAATGCAGTTTCATATCCATATGTGAAAAGATATGACAAGCCAAACCAGTCATAATTTATTTTGTTCCTTAAGCATAAAGTAAAAAAAATCAAAATGATATCATTATTATGTTAATCTAATTCTAGTTTTAATTGTGCATTGTAAACACATCGATGATTCTTATAGGAAAGTGTTAGGAAGCCACCTATACTAAGGGGTATATTTGGTAGGAGCAAAGAGGATCTGGTTCTCTTTGGGAGGGAATGGTTAATATAATAGCCCGTGAGAGAAGCAATCAAGGGGAATTGAGATCTCAGGGAAGGAATGGTTAATGTTACAGATTGCCAATGAGGCAATCAAGGGGAAGTGAGGAAAAGTTTGTTGTGTATGGATATAAAATGGAAAGAGTGGAAGATAGAGGGGTGAGGGGAAAAGAAGAGAAGAGTAAGGGAGAGTGCAGATTGGCTCAGATACCATGCTATCTATTTTCTGTTTCAGTTCTTTGAATTCCATTGTAAATCCTCCACACAGGTACTGATATCAGTATCTTCAGAAAAATATTACAGTTGATTAACCATAACTGAGTGTGCTTTGATCCAGAATGTTAGAAGATTGTCTCTGTTCTCACTATCTCAAGAAGAAAGTCTTTCTTATGATTTATTCATAATCTGGAATTTATAACTTCACATTTTTTTTTCTATGCTTTGGCATTTCATTCATTGCATAAGTGTGCACATTTTAAAACATTATAATTGATTTCTGGACCTCCTCTTATTTTGGCTTCTGTTCTTACAGACATGGCATCTTTATGAGCGAAAGGAATTGGTAGAGCTGGTGGACACATCACTAAACGGAGAATTTGATGCCGAGCAGGCCTGTATGTTTCTAAAGATTGGCCTTCTTTGCACTCAGGACTCTCCAAAGCTCCGGCCATCAATGTCTTCTGTGGTCAAGATGCTCACTGGAAAAATGGATGTTGATTACTCTAAGATAACAAAACCTGCCTTAATTTCTGATTTTATGGACCTCAAAGTTAGAAGTAAACAAGAAAGTTATACTGATACAAAGAATTTATCTACATACAATACATCATCCTCCTCAGACAACCACGATACTACCATGTCATCCACTGTAACTACAACCTTCACTGCAAAATATGATCAAAGCATGTAAACATCAATCAGTAATGATTTGTCTTTTAATTGAAAAATCATTTCATTTACTTAGGCATGAATCTCTCATGTACGTTTTGCAACCTTTTCATTCTTCTTGAGTGTTGTTTTTGTCCTTGGATGTAGCCTAGCCCTGCATAACTAGGAAGTTGTTATACATGTTCTGTAAATATGAGCCGGCTTGTATTTAATGATCAATTTGGATTTATTTTTTTCCTCTTTGATGTTTCCTGTTTCTATCTCTCTCATTATTTATCTTTTCTCGAAAAACTTTTGTAGAAAGGCCCTTGTCAATCCATATACACTTAAAATTATAGAAACACATTTTTCACATCATGTCATATTTGCCTTGAACATGGAGTTGAGATTTAAGGAATAATGTTACCACTCCATTTCCTATGCCTTAGTCTTTTGTACTACTATATCGGGTAGGAGCAATAGTGTTTCAAGTTCTTGTAATTCTGGCTCAAGTTGATATCATGAGAGTGGTAAACTTTCAAACTTCAGGCAAAATTAATGAAACTTCCATAATCGAACTATGCTAGGGAGAATAGGGAAAAACTTGTGTGCAATTCAGAATACTCGGTCAACTGTTGGATGAAAGTTGTTCACAACTTCCTTGTTTGTAAGCCTTTAACAGTTGGTGATCAGAGTCAATAGACATGTCCCATGTCTTGAAGACCTTTTGTTATGGTTCATTTCTCTGACAAAGGTGCAACATTTTCCATATAAATACCATTTTCCAAAGGTTCTACGTTGGTTTTGAGGATTAAAAAGTTAGTGTTCTAAAGGTGTGTGTTTTGAGAAAATAAATGTTAATAGAGCTGATGATAAGTAACTTCAGTAAACTTTTATTATGTAAGAAACTATTTATTATTTTGATAATATGAAATTGTAATAAATGTTATATTTTAAAATAAAATATTACTATTTATATATGCTTAAATTTATTTTTAAGGAGTAAGGTTAACAAAATTGTTTTTTATTTTTTATTTTTCTTTTTACTTCTTGTTATAAAATTGTTACTTTGTTTTTTTAATATTTTTTAAAGGTTTGTGCAAGAAACAATGTAGATAACTTTTTATTGTTTTTTCTATTTCGCATATTAATGTTTGAGAATAAAAAATAAAATAAACGTGACATCTTTATGATTAAATTCCTTTTCTTAAATCAAATAGTCCCTTGATTTTTTCACCATTGAATAATTGTTTGATGAAGTCTTTTAAGACGAATCAATATAGAAGTAAATAAGGGGACCACCATGGTAAGAAGTTCACATGAAACATTAGTAAGATCAGATAAATATAATTCAATACAGCAGAGATCTCCAGCTGTAACAACCCATTTTTCTTACTGAATTTTGCTAAGCATGTGCCTCTTAAATTGGGTATTCAGAGCCCATAATGAAATCAAAGATGGAATACTTATACCAGCTACCAGCACCATCTCACTTACCACAATAGGTGTTGTTTTTGTGTCTTGTTCTGTTGTTGACTATTATATTATGGAAAATAATAATTATACAAACCCCTCATAAAGTCTTCACTGAATCTACAAGAATAAAGTCCGTGCAAGCTATTGGATAAAACTTGGATATGTTATTATAACTTTTTTCTTGAAGGATTCAAATGAATCTACACTAGAATATTTTAAGATAAAGTTTGTGTATGAAACACTACTCCTGTATTATATATGGAGTGAAAAGGAGATCAGACAAAACTAATGATGCTTTCTAGTTTGGTTTCCATTTAATTGAATGTAGCTTGTTTAGCTAAAACTTCAAGTTAAAAAAAGGTTATGGTATGGGAGAATGAGAAATCTTTTCTTTATGTTCACATGGGTGACAATGACTATTTTGTTAAGTTTCAAGTTGAGGAAACTGACAAACACTAAGAATAAATTCCCTCCACCTATTCTGGGATGAAGTGGTTGCAATCAGTGTCTTTAATGTTGGTGGTGTCAACCAGTTGAAAAGTAAAAAACATTGAATTTTTAGGAATTCTTCATCAAAACTACTGATAGATGATTTGGATTTGGATTAAACTATTATAAGTGAAAAAGTTCTTCCATCAAAATTATATTTTTAAATATTAAAGTTTGAATAATTTTTGTCATTTGACCTATGTATTCAGTGATTAGTGTTGTTTTTATTTAAATAATTCTTATTTAAAATATTCTTACGGCTAATAATATGATTATAAAAAAATAAAAGTAGTTAAATAAAAATAATGATAGATAAGAGTGATAATAAACACTCTTAATAAACTGCAATACTTCAGGGCAACCACACTATGATGGATCTGGATCGTCTGCAGTTTTGGCGGAAACTGCAAGCTGCAATTTCTCGTTCGCTTAAATGAAATTTTTTCGCTTAAGTGAATTTTGGTAAAAAGTGATTTTGGCTTAAATTAAAACAAATTCGCTTTCTTCTATTAGCCTTCTCCCGCTCCCTTGTGCTCTTGCCCCAATCTTTGATCTCCCTCTCAGCCTCATTTTCTCTCTTCTTCTTATTTTTTTGCTACTCTTTCTAAATTCGCTTAAGCAGATTTTTCTGGGTTAAACGAAATTGGTTTAAGCGAATTTGTTTTAACTTAAGTTAAAATTATTTTTTACTAAAATTCACTTAAGCAAATACAAAACTGCAGCTTGAATTCTCGTCAGAACTGCAAGCAATCTGGATCTGCACTATGATTGATGATCATGAAATGGAAGTAACACTGCAACGTGATATCGATGAACAATGTGACAAGATTCCAAATATAAAATATATGTATTTTTCAGCATTAAGAGAAACTTAATTATTAATATGTAGAGTCAATCTTCTGATATAATTATCATTGCACATTATTGGCTGTAGTGTAAGGGATTATTTTAAAAAATATTTTATAAAAACTGAAAGTATAACAATACTTAAATAAAACAATTATTGATTTATACAAGCAATCATTTTGTCATTATTTTAATTTTATTAAAGTACTTTTAGATTTGTAACTTGCTAAAATATTAGTGGAAAGAGTTAGCAACACAAGTATATTTTCATAAATACACTTACCTAATTCGGTTTTCTTTTTTCTTGATATCTTATATTTTTATTTTTATTTTAGTATTTGTTGGGTGGATTTTACCCGATGCACTTAAAAAAATAATCTAAATCAATTAAATCACTGTTAAAAAATATATATTTTTTAACTTTTTTTAATCAATTAAATTAATTTTATTTACAATAATGTTGATTTTATTTTATTCAAAACAAAGGGATAGATCAAATCCATGTCTGATTGCACGATTTTAATACTATAAACTCATCCACATATTATAAACTTCTCCATTTAGCATTAAAATTTTGCATGTTTAGAAAATTACAACCTAAATGCGAACACATAATAATGTGAAATATAATCAAATTTGACCTTCTATTGATTCAAGTATTAGATTCATGAATTGATAGCCATATAGTCAAAATCCATCTTGTTTTACTTAAATATCTTTTTTTTTTGTTTTAAAAATATTGTGTAAATTTACCATTGTTTTGACTCACTGTCAAGTTTAGTTAGGAATATTTGTGACATATTTAAGACAATTTATGTCTATCCTTTACTTTATTTTAATTGTTTAGACAAATTTTAAATTTGAACTCAATCATAGACTTGAAAAAAATCCTACATTAAAAAAAAAAAAAAACTTGAGTCTAATTTAATTTGACTCTAAATAAAATGCGATTGAGTTGACTTGAAGATAAATTATATTCACACCATTTGAGCTAAGGTTGAATTATACTTGGTGTACTGGGAAAGGAATCAACTCGGTTCCACCATCAGCAAAAAGAAATCGAATACCTACTCGGCATACTAGGCCGGTACCCCTAGTCAGGATTAAAAGGTAAATAATCCAAATTAAAGATAATCAAAAATACTATGGGCTTCAAATATAAAAATTGACTTAGGCCCGTTAGCCCAAAAGAACGTCTATAAAAAGAAGATAAGAAATACAGGTGAGTGGTTGACTTCAGATCATTAAATAACATTTATTGCTCAGAACCGAATCCTGACTTTATCATCAGAGTGTCTTTTGCAAGTATTCTCCCTATCATCAAATCAGCAGCAGGATGCCTGATCAGAGATTAGAAGACAGTTAAGGGAGGAACATTCTGGCGCCCACCGTGGGGCCCGATCAACTTCGTCACTCAGGATTAAGCATGGTAATGACGAGAAGCCAGCAGGAAGGGACTTCTAGGCAACAAATGGAGGGCGTCACGCCAGAGGAACTAGTACCGGAAGTAGTGATACAGGGAGGAACGGAAGAAAGCATCCTAGCTGTACTGAGGCAGCTAAGGGCAGAAATGGAGGAGATGAAGAAGGATCGCGAAAGAGATGCACTGGAACTCTCATCCCTACGAAGGGAAAATACCGGCCTAAGGGAGGAAATAAGGACACACGTCCCCTCCCTTACTACCCCCGTCGTCCAAGATCAAGGAGAATCATCAGCGCTGCAAGAAAAATCAAGACAGGTATATCAATCGGTAACCGAAAACGACCGAGATGAACTTATGAACCGGAGCCCGTTCGTTCACCGCATTCTAGAAGCCAAGCTGCCCGATAATTGGAGAGGGTTGGTAATAGACAAATACGATGGCACATCCGACCCCGGAGAACATGTGGACATCTTTACAACGCAGGTCGGTCTGTACACAGAAAGCGACGCCTTATGGTGCAGAATCTTTCCTACTTCACTCCGAGGACCTGCACTTAGTTGGTTCACCCGACTCTCCCCCCTCTCCGTCGACTCGTTCGCAACTCTCACAAGACGTTTCAACTTGCAGTTCGCCACAAGCCGGCCCCATCCACTAACATCCTTGGCCCTAGTCAATATTCGCCAAGAGAAAGGTGAATCACTTAGAGCGTTCATGGAACGCTTCGGCAAAGTGACTCTTTCAATCCATAATTTGGAACCAGCAGTGGCTATGCACCATCTAACAACAGCGTTGAAACCGGGACCCTTCGTTAATAGCCTCTGCAAAAAACCCCCAGTCGACCTAGACGAGTTAAGGAGCCGGGCTGCGAAATATATGCAAATGGAAGAACTATCCGAATACCGGAGCCAGGTACGGATGGAACAAGGACCTAACTCAAAAAATGAAGAAAGAAGGGAGATCTTTAAAACAAGGCGGGGGAACGACAGAGGAAAGGAACTCGAACGACCACCTCGAGGACCGAAG